ACTAATATATAACACAACTGGCAGCAATAAATTAAGAATAAGGCTTTCTAATTATTATTATTTTCCTTCTTTCTTCTCCATTCTCATTGACAATGGAGGGCCTTCTAAAATGCTTGTCCCAAAGGTTTCATTTTTAGGAGCTTCTCAAAGGTCTGAAGGAAGGAGGCCTGACCTATCTCCTGCAGGAGGGCTTTCCAAGGGAAGCGTGCCACTGCCAAGAATGCACTGTTCATTACAGAATTCTTTGGTGTCAAGACCCACAGGCGTGAGGGTTGAGAGGACTGAGTAAGATGGGCAGCAGAACCTGGAAGCAGATGTTTGGACAGGAAGCGAGGTCCCACACCACTTAGAACTTTATATGTTGGTAGCAAAACTTTGAACCTGGCACAGACGCAGACTGGTCACTGGTTCAGGCAGATCTGGATTGCACTACACTATATGCAATGTATCTTGCATTTAACAGTGTTTTATTATGATTGGCCATTCAACTGTAGAAGCACAGCACTAGAAATGACACCAAAGATCTTTTCAGCAGGATCCTCGAAGAAATCTCTGGAAATTCATAAGAAAATTTGGAAAAGGTTATGAATTCATGATGGTCTAAGGGAAGACCATCAAATGCAATGCCCTATTTTTGTGGTGTGTTTACAGGAAAGTTGAAGGTCCAACTTGATGATCTGTCCAAGACAATGAATGCACCAGTGGGTCTTCTCACTGGATTTTTCCTTATTCCTGAAGATGAAATCCCAGTTCCTCCCAAAAAGGCATTCTTACATTATGGTGACTGAAATCTTTCAAGACCATGAACCATGGAGTTTTCGGCAATACATGTAAAATGATCTACATCAGCAGAGATAGGAAGACAGTTGGAAAGCAGGCTGGATAATACACCAACTGAATCTCCACCCCATATGCATTTATTTGCATATATTGCATATATTGTTGTCCTCCCTACTTCAACTATGTAAGACAGGTAATATTGTCTCATATTGTAAATGGTAGAGACAGTGAGGCCTGAGGCTGAGACACTGCAGCTTGTCTGGTTTAATCAAAGAGGTGAGATCTCAGTGTGGGTTCTCTGATCCATACTTGAAGGTCTAAGGAGTCAAACGAGATGCTCAACCAATTGTATGTTCTGTACAGTTCACTGGTTTCCCTTGTCATGAGGGATCTGCTCAAAGATGTAGGTCCAAGGAATCTCACCTGCAAGTAAAACCTGGGTTTACCTTGCCTCCCAATGATTGTGGATTCCCTGCATTGGAAAGAGGGAGGTGGATCTTTGGTATCATTTCCAGTACTGTGATTTTATAGTTCTGTGACAAATCATAATAAAGCACTGACTAAATGCAACATACATAGGTTGTTGTTGTTTAGTCGTTTAGTTGTGTCCTACTCTTCGTGACCCCATGGACCAGAGCATGCCAGGCCCTCCTGTCTTCCACTGCCTCCCGGAGTTGGGTCAAATTCATGTTGGTTGCTTTGATCACAACACATAGGTTAGGGGAACCTTAATATAAACCTTAAGATAAACCTGTAGGAGTATGCTGCTGTAGGAATATCCTGAGAACTCTAATAAAATAAAATAAAAGTAACTTTTGCTTTGTCTGCTGCCTGCTGTAGAGAGGGATGGCACCTGACTTGCTTGTTATATCAAAGATTCCAGGTTCATTCCCAGTCATTTCTCATGAAAACAATTCAGATATCAGGTGACAAGAAAGACCTCAGCCTGAGATTCCAAGGGATGATGCTTCCACCTATAGCAGAGAATCTAGGCTAAGGCGGTTCCCTATGTTCCTTAGACCAGTGGTCCCCAACCTTGGGCCTCCAGATGTTCTTGAGCTACAACTCCCAGAAGCCTTCACCACCACCTCTGCTGGCCAGGATTTCTGGGAGTTGAAGTCCAAGAACATCTGGAGGCCCAAGGTTGGGGACCACTTCCTTAGAATACCCAAAACCAAGAATATTATCCTGATGTAAGAGATGGAGAGGAATACTGTACTGAAAACAATGGGGGGGGGACATTACAATATTATCTCTGCCTGAGTTTCACAGTTGGATATACAATTAACAGGAGACTGACCGTTTTGGCTGGCTGATTAGTTGTGTATAAATTAAGACGTATGTAATTATTCATCGGCAAATTAATTCTGACTTATGGTGATCTTCCTAGTGTTTTCTAGGTATAAAATACTTAGAAGTGGTTTATCAGTTCCTCCTTCTGGGGACGCTCTGGAACCCTATGCCTTGACTTTGGCAGGGCATATAACTTCACCAGGATTAATTTAAAATAACATTAGATAATCTTGGCTGGCCCCTTTCCTGGGTGGCACAGTAGGGATCAACCTCCTGCTCCTGGGGCTGCAGCTCTATGCTCCAACTCACTGAGTGATACCAGGCTTAGGAATGTAAATGAATATTACAATTTATAAGGTATGCAGTTTATATGTTAACTGTATAATAATTATTCTAAAAATATGTCCTAGACCCTATCAAAAATTAAGATGGAGACATAGACTGGCTACAATAAATTATCCCAATAACAAAACGAAACACTAAACATGAAGAATAGACAAGCTGTGGGAAGGAAATCACCAAGAAAATTTAACCCCTTGGAAACATCTGTGTTGTCAGCCAAGTTGATCTCCTGATGACATATGTGTAAAGCAAAGCCTCTAACTTTTGTTGGTTAATGGGCCCAGTCAAGAAATCACCATAGACCTTATTTATGGCACAGCTCAGCATTCAACAGATAATGTTTGCACTGCTTTCTTAACTTGAGGCAATTCACCTGCAAAAGTTACACGGTTTGTGCTACACTTAAGAGCATCAGTTACAGCATTTGCGCCATCCTGTTTATTACACAAGTGCATGTTACATGCATTAGGATTTGTTCAAAGGAAAATGGTTGTGCAGTTTTCAGGCCTCTAATATTTATGGAGCAGAATAAGAAAGCAGAGCCCTGAGATGCTAGAAGGTCAAAAGATCACACACATGCAAACACACACACACCATTACATATTTAACAATTAAGATCTATTTTCTGATTCACCCTCCTCCTTCCACTTCTAGTTTATATTTGCAAATGAATTGCTTATACAATGTATACACGGATTTTACTGGATTCTATAAAATCCCCCACTTCTCAGCAGTGGTCCCTCTAATTTTCCAGAGAGCTGCACTGAGGCTCCCTCCCTTGTGCATGGGATCCCTGTTGTAAGCGGAAGCAAATGGGCGGCCACACTGGCTTGGCTACACATGCGCTATGCAGCCCTGCACCCTAGTTCACCCACATCAGTTAGAGCAGGGGTAGCCTGAGTTGGACCGGGCTGACAGATCTCCTGCCCACCCGGCACGGACTCCCCCCAGCCCCTTTGCGCATGCACATATGCCCCCACATGAGCATGTGAGAGTGCCTGCTGAGCACCCGCACCCTCTGTGCATGTGTGTGCACCCACACAAGTGCCTCCCCCTACCCTCTGCATAAGTGTGCACCCACACAAGCACCCGCGTCCACCTTTGCACATGCACCAGAGAGCAGGGGGTGCCCCGCCTTCTCCACCCAGTCCGTGATATTAAAAAGATTGGGGACCACTGGCTTAGAGTGGTGGTCCTCAACCTTTTTCCAACCATGGACTGGTTGGGGGTGTGTGGCACACCTGCAGGGGGGTGGTGCTCACTTGCATGTATGTGCATGTCATACAGGGGGTGCTCACATGCATACACATGGTGTGCTCGCAGGGGGTGAAACCTGCTCCTGCGCATGACAGCTGGGGACCACTGGATTAGAGCGGTGGTCCTCAACCTTTTTCCAACCATGGACTGGTTGGGGGGGGTGTGGCACACCTGCAGGGGTGGTGGTGCTCACTTGCATGCATGTGCATGTCACACTCACAGGGGGTGCTCACATGCATGCACACGGCGTGCTCGCAGGGGGTGAAACCTGCTCCTGCGCATGACAGCGGTCGCAGGGGGGCTAGGAGATCTGTGTCCACGGCCCAGTCTTGGATAGGCTGCGGACCACTGCCAGGTCACGGACTGGGGGTTGGGGACCTCTGGCTTAGAGGGAACATTGTTTATAGCAGTGGTTCCCAACCTTGGGCCTCTAGATGTTCTTGGACCTCAACTAGTTCTTGAACATCTTCAACTAGATGTTCTTGGAGTTCAACTGGCTGGGAAATACTGGCCAGCAGGCTTCTGGGAGCTGTACTCTAAGAACATCTGGAGGCCCAAGGTTGGGGACCACTGGCTTATAGGACAAACTGATGGAATCCATTCTACCCTCTCAGGATTTTTACCATTTTATTCACTCATCACTCTGCTAACCCATTAAGGTAAGTTGCCCTCCTCCCCAATATCTGTCATCAGGCAAACAGCCACCTTTTCAGGCAGCCTTTTAAGCAATGTGTGGGGAATCTCAGCAGTGCTATCTTTATTAAATTTAGAGATTTTAAAATGTTTCTAAACATGTTTTCAAAATTGGTTTCTTATCGTCCTTTTGATATTGATAAACCATTAATTGTTTTAGTACAGTTTTTAAATGGAATTTTTAAAAAATCTGCATTTATTGTACGTCTAGTTTTAATTGTCCATCTCTTTGTTTATTCATTCATTTATATTTTTATCCCATCCCATTAGTGGCAGAGCCACTACTCAGGGTGAGAAACAAATCAGAATAATTTACAAACAACCCCAGTAGCAACTGCATACTCAATAAACCTGAGACGTAATAACAAAAAATAAAATACCTAGTTAAAAAATATAGACTAAAATATTTAAAATATTAAATACAATAAAGGCGGCAAAAACAGGAGGGGAAAAGCCCCATCAAATGGCCAGATTCCTCTGAGGGCTGGTGAGAAAAGTCAGGTGTTCACTATCTCCTGAAACCAAGAAGGGAAGGGGGCTAATCTTACCTCAGGTGGGAACCATTGTTCCACCCTCTCTTGGGTTACCTATAGGGATAAAGGCAATAAATCAATGTCCAAAACAAGCTGGCATACCTCGTTCACACGACCTGCCAAGGTATCCTGTGCCAGAACAATCGCAGACGTATCTGTTCCAACCGTCTCTACACACCCCGTTGTTTTTACATGGGTTGCTCAAGCAGGGCTTCGCTGTTTCTCTGGAACACGAGGGTTTCACCCCAGAAGTGCTCTGGATTTCTGCCATTTGGCGAATATCTTTGCTTTGGCCGTCGATAAAGAGGTCCCGAATGCAGCCCACATAACCATAATTTAGAAGTGCTGTCCAGACCTCCGTTGGAAAGACCAGGCCGGCTTTATTTTCTGGCAAACCGCCAAGATACAAATCATCATCTAAGTCCAAGATTTCACTTTCCCCTGGTGCCGTGTAGGGGGTTCGCATTGTGTTGACAGAAATAGTACCTGTTTAGAAAACAAAAGAAAAGGATTTTCATTTTTGGGTTCATGCAGATTGACAGCTATCTTGGCTGATTTCTTTTACCCGTTTATCATTTGTGTTTGTATCCTATTGGCTGGTCAAGAACCATGGCCTCCAAAATGTCTTTTAATTGTAAGAGAGCAAGCAACTGCAACAAAAATCTTTCAACAGTTAGGAGCACTTGTAATGTTGATGAACCAAGAGAAGGGAAAAATTACACTAAGTGGGTATTTTCTGCCCCCACTGGAGTTCCAGCATATTGAGTACTAGCAGCAGGTTTAGCACTATGGTTTGGATGAGGGATACTGTAATCATAAATTAGGGGGATGTGGTGGCACTGTGCGTTAAACTGTAGAAGCCTCTGTACTGCAAGTTCCGAAGACCAGCAATTGTAAAATCGAATCCACACGACGGAGTGAGCTCCCGTCACTTGTCCCAGCTCCTGCCAACCTAGCAGTTCAAAAGCATGTAAATGCAAGTAGATAAATAGGTACCGCCACGGTGGGAAGGTAACAGCATTCAGTGTTTAATCACCACGGAAACTGTCTTCGGACAAGTGCTAGCTCTACGGCTTGAAAATGGGATGAGCACCGCCCCATAGAGTCGGACACAACTAGACTAAAAATGCCAAGGGGAACCTTTTAATCATAAATGGTCCATTTCTGAGTCCAATTCACAGTGCTGGTTATAAAGCCCCATTCTGCTTGGGTCCAAGTTATCCGACAGACTGTATCTCCAGATAAAACCTTTCTTGGGTCTTAAGATCTTCCGAGGGGAGGCCCTTCTCTTGGCCACATCACAGAGAGAAACTGAGAGAGGGCCTTCTCAGTGGCTGCTCCTTTATTATGGAATGTTTTCATTTGTGAGACTAGGCTGGTCTCCTTTGTCCTCTGTTTTCAGTGACAACTACAACATTTGTATTCTGACAGGATTTTAATAATTACTTTCTATTTTTAATGTAACTGATTGCCCTGTGCTTGCTGCTATCATACACTTTTTTAATGCTTTAAAAATGTCTTTTACTCTTTTTGTTTTATATGATCATGATGTGAGCTTAATCCTTTACAGGACATCTGATGAGGAACACCCGTCTACTAAAGTACCATCCAGGTCTTCACACTCAATGAAGCATCACTCAAAACAGAGTCTTGTTGACCTGACAAGTGCTCAGGATGATCGTATGGTTGCTTAGCCCTGGAAAGCAAAGGCAATCCTTTAAAAGTCTTTGGTTGCTTAACAGTGCAGTGCATAAGTATACTCCTAGATAGCATAAGAAGGGTGGGGAAAAACATACTTTGCAACAGTGGTTTGAAATGGATATCTAGAAAGTGCCATTCCGAGCGAGAGTGCGATTACTCTAAACCTCTAATTATATACTCCAAAGACAGCCATGTGCCTTTTTCTTCCCCCTGTAATTTCTAGTGCTTACACTGGAACTCTGACTTCAATTCAAAATCTCAATGACTCCTTAGCCCTTAAATGCTGGCTTAGCTGTGGAGAACTGCTGATACAATCTGGTTTACACTGCCAGGCACAACTGGAGTTTGACAAGAAGAATACATTCCCTCTCTGATTCCAGTGTGTAAGGATGATTTTTTCCGAATGGGGTGAATGGCAGCTAGGCCAGGGAAACCTTTGGAAGGTTATTTTATGAATATGCTGAAGAGATGAACAAAAGATTCAATGACACAACAGCCTTGCGACACAATGATTATTAACCCGGCATGTTGCAAAACCCAAGGGGAGCAACTATCTTTTGTAGTGTGCTTTGGTAGGATTTCTAGCTGTGAAGTTGGCAATACAGTAACAGCGGAATGGACAAACATTTCAAATGGGTAAGTGCTAATAAGCCTCCTCGATCATCTTTGTTATCTCAGGAATTAAGTTTTAAGAGGTACGCTTATAAAAACTTAGACCTAGCAATAGCCACAAGGGGGGAGGGAAGGAGGGATACCAGCAAGTCTATCTTCATCAGGTTTCTCCCCCTTCTAAGTTTCACCTGTAGTAGCTCTTACACCAGGCAGCAATGAACATCAACTGGACAATAAAAACCACAATGGCAGGTGAAGAAGATTAAGAGGAAAGACTGAAAGAACTGGGCGTATTTAGCCTTGAAAAAAAGAACCCTGAGGGCAGATATAACAGCACTTTTGAAATACTTGAAAGAGAGTAATACAGAAGAGGGGCAGGATCTGTTCTTGATCATCCCAGAGTGCAGGCCATGTAATACAGTGGTACCTTGAGTTGCTAACTTCATTCATTCCAGATGATGGTTGTAACTCAAGTTGGTTGCAACTCAAAGCACCAATGAAAAGCAATTAATCCATTCTGGCTGGTTTTTTGGTTGTATCTCAAGGCGCTGATTGTATCTCAAAGGTTAATCCATTCACTACCACTAAGAGGTAGTGAATGGGGACCCCTCCATGGGGTCACGAAGAGTCGGACACGACTAAACGACTGAACAAAAAAACCACTAAGAGGAGACTTTTTTTTAAACCTAAGTTGATCTCTAAGGTTAAAAAAGGACAGGAAAGGAGGGAGGGAGCAAGAAAGCGCCGGTTGCAAGTCAAAGCAAAATGTTGTCACCGGAGCTGGTTGTAACTCAAATTGGTTGCAAGTCAAGACAGTTGTAAGTCGAGGCACCACTGTAATGGGCTCAAGCTACAGGAACTCAGATTTAGACTGAATATCAGGAAAAACCTCTTAACTGTTAGAGCAGCATGACAATGGAACCAATTACCTTGGGAAGTGGTGAGTGCTCCAACAACTAGAGGCATTCAAGAGAAAACTGAATAGTCACTTGTCAGATACAGTTTCATTTGGACTGCTGAACTTAGCAGGGGGTTGGACTTGATGGCCTTATAGGCCATTTCCAATTCAATTATTCTATTATTCTAAGAAGCCAATATAAAGATGTCAACAAGGAACCTAAAATTTCAAGAGCATGCATTATTGAGTTGAAGCAGGCAAAAAAACAACAACAACCATCACCTTGAGATGAACTAAAAAGCCAAAAATTTCAAGAGCATGCATTACTGAGTTGAAGCAGGCAAAAAAACAACCATCACCTTGAGATGAACTAAAAATCTTTCAAATAAATAAGGCATTTATACCTTGTGCCATCAGATTTTTAATCTGAGAAAGGGAATAGGTGGGAAGGGGGGGGGAGAGAGAGAGAGAGAGAGAGCAGCTTGGAGAAGCTTGAACATCCTCACTTCTCTCTGTGTTTACTCCCTTTAGCATATTAAACTTTGATACAAAACTGTTTTAACTGTTATTCGGTAAACAGAGTGATAATGGCATTAATGGAAGGAAGCTCACCAATGGATGATCCTTCCTTCTGTCATAATTGCATCCTTCTATTCCCCCCCAGATCCTTTCCATTAGATCCAACTAACGTTACGAACTACATTTTGGCAAGCTGCAATGAAGGGGAGAATTGCTGGAACTGGAAATGTTCTTCAAGCAGTGCCAGATTCTGATACCATTCCTCCCTCAGAACATCTTAGATACAGTACCACTATGATATAACACCCTTGAAGCTAATGGGACCAAATGCAGAAGGTCTTTGTCTCATGCCTCTGGTAAGAGCTGATATGGATGTGTGAGGCAGAGGATAAGACTACCCTTCCAACTCCAGGTTCGTGTGTGTATGTGTGTGCATGGAAATCAACAATCTGAAGAGGGGTGGCTGCAAAATATATGAAGATTCTCAACACAATCCGGACCTCTGGTTTTTCAGGGTTTTTTTCTGGTTTATCAGGGTCCCCAACTGTGTCTGTCAAGAGAGAGTCTCCACCTGATGCAGATGGCCTCTTCTTTAGATTGGCAGTCTCCAGATGCAGAAAACAACTGCAGAAGAGAAAGGTCCAGGCCTCTCTCCCTAGTCACACATTCAGACTGACTCTTTTATGAAAGCCTGAATAGGGCCATGGTTTGAGCCTCGAAATTCTACATACTGTGTGTGAGACAATGTGGGGCCATGCCATCACCAGAGGAGCCCCAAGATCAAGAGACTGTGAATCTCATAACCTTTGGTGGTTTAAGACACTACACACCATGAAGAAAAATGCCCAAACTCCAGGGAGGAATCTAGGCTTCCTCTCCATCCCTGAGAACACCAGGATGAAGGCCTAGGATAAGCTCAAGATGGAAGCGTCCTCACATGTAGGCATTTCCTTACAATTAAATGGTAATCCTGAGAGCAACCTCAGGTTGCCACATGCCAAATATGAGCCACATGTTCTGGAAGAGATCCTAGAAGCAACAAAAGCTGGTCTACTAATGTTCCTCACCTCTCCCGCACAATTCTACCCCAACTAGTGGTGGTAACTATGTGTAATTAAGGACAGAAAAATTAAATATTCCCCCCCCACATAAACAGCTGATGAGCAAATTAAAAAAAAACCCAGCAATAGCATTACAAGGCAACATCACTCTGAATTCCAAGCCCCTGTTGTTCTGAAATGAAATGCATTCCTTTTTTTATTTCCTATTCAAGTTGGCCTTTTACAAAGCAGGTGACTTAGCATCTTGCCTTCAGCATTCCTTGAGGGTTATTGAAGGAGAACTTGACAGCAAAATTGTGTATGCCCACATGGAAGGAATACTGAAATACATGCTCATGTACTGCTCTACTCCTTCTATAGAAATCCACAATATATACTATATTATTAGTTTCTATCTGCAGTGGCCATCTGATTTCATTGTATCATCTTTCCTTGAGGACTTAAATAAGATGGCACAATATGCATTTTCTTTAGAAGCAGCTGTAAAAAGGACGTCTAATATGGTGCTTGAATTTTAAAATCTACTTCCTCTAATAATAATAACTTAATTTTACCAAGTAATATCTTTATATTTGACAAAACTGATACACTTTCCCCTGGATTTATGGTAGGAACTGTGATGAAGTGTATTTTTCTAATTAGTTGATACACTTTCCCCTGGATTCATGGTAGGAACTACTTCATTGTAGATATTG